CCCAGCTCACACTGCCCATCGCTGGGGGCACAGGCCAGGCCCGCCGCACCCACACCGGACACCGGAGGGTGGCAAAGCAGTCAGCCCCTCCGGCCCCACCCCCTGGACCCCACACCCCGGGACCCCATATCCTGCACCCCCTGGCCAGGCTGGGCCCAGGTCCTGATCTGGGCTGGGCATCTTCAAATGCGCCTTCCTCGGGCCCTGCCCCGGCTGGGACCAGACAGCACCGGCCTCTGAAGAGCCGCTGCCCGGTCAGCAAGCCACACCCGGGTCCGGCTGTGGCCACCGCATCCATCCGGCTGTGGACACCACATCCGGCTTTGGACACACCCGCAGGGCCCTCGCAAAGAAAGCGAAGCCGGCGCGCTGAGCCTGGAGCCAGGGGAGGACAGCACTCCAGCCGGCCCCGTCCACCCAGGCCCGGGGACAGAGGGAGTCTGCACGGGCTGAGGAGGACACTGGGGATTTGGAGGGGCCACCTCTGGGTACCCCGGGCACACTATGGGCGGGGTGCAGTGCCGCCACGCACAGGCCCCACCGGCCGGCTCAGTGGCGGCAGCCCTGGGCCCGGCTGATGCCCTGGTGGGCCCGGGGGGGCAGGGCCGACAGCGGGTCCCCCGACCCAGCCCCCCAGTGCCAGGAGCACGGCCACCGAGCCAGAGGAGAACCTGCCCAAGGCTGCCTTCGGCAGAGCTGCCTCGCCAAGGCCACGCCTGCCCAGAGAGGGCGTCTGTCCAGTGACCCGGGAGTGGCGCCTCCCTCCTGGCCGAGGGCCGCCTGGGGGTCCCCAGTGGCCTCTGCTGCTCCCCAGGGCTCCCTGCAGCAGCCCCGGGGCCCAGGCTCAGCCCACCCCTGTCCTCAAGGCGGGGGGAGCAGACAGTGCACACCCCTGTCTGCTCCCCTGGGTGGGCCTGGGGTGGGGGCAAAGCCCCGGAGACAGCCGGGCAGGGGGCGGGGTCCTCCCTGGCGTCGCAGCAGGCCACCCTGGGCTCCGGTGCGGTGGGGGCCAGCATCACTGCCTGGCTAGTTGGGGAGGGTCCAGGAGTGGGGCAAGCCAGTTGGGGCCCAGGTCACTGGCTGCTTCCCGGGCGGCAGCCCTCCGGGCCAGGGTGGCGTGGGCATCCCCGGTGGCCAGCCTCCCCGCTCAGGCCCCGGAGAGGCCCCGCTGTCTCCACTTAGAGGTGCCCGGGGGCTCCCAGTGGCAGCCCTGGGGAAGGCCGGGCTCCAGCCAGTGCCTGGCAGGCCAGCGGGGTCCGCCGCCTGCATCCGGCAGGGCCTCAGGCAGGGACAGGAAGCGGGGGGTGGGGGGGGGGTGGGGGGTGGAGTGCAGAGGCTGGGGCCAGGGGGAGAGGCCCTTCCCGAGACCCTGGTTGGAGCCACACAGCCACAGGCCCATCCTCAGAGGGACCCCAAATGACCCGAGTCGTCCCCCCGGAGGAGGGAGGGCCTGAGGGGGACCGCTGCTGGGGGCACCCCAGTGCAGGAGGAAAGCAAGGGTGGAGGCCTGGGGGCCCTCAGCTGGCACCCAGGGGCGTCCAGCGGCCCTCCCCAGGCAGGCCTGGCCAGGCCCAGGGGTCAGCTGGCAACTAGGGTCCTCCCAGCTGGACTCGCCTGCCTCCCGACCCCCCTGACCGGAGGCCCAGACGCATGGGCCCAGCACCCTGTGGGACACCAGGTGCCCCTTGGCGCTGGGGGCATCACCTGCTGGCCCTGCTGGCCCATGAGGCCTAGAGTGGGGCCCTGGGTGTGTGGGGGGCGGCTGGATCCCCAGAGCCACGGGAGCCACCCGCGGACCCCCGAACACCCGGCCACTGGATCCTGCCACTGGACCCGACCCGTGGGCGTCAGTACGACTAGAGAGGCCACGAGCAGGAGGAACACGGGGGTGGCTGCGGGGGTTCAGGGGTGTCCCTGCCCTGGTTCCAGCTTTGGCGCAGAGCCACCTGACGATGCGGCCGGAAGGTTCCGGGCCAGCTGCGGGCGGCCAACTGCGGGCTGACCCGGCGGGGCTTCCGCACCAGCCAGGGCCTCCTGGCAGTCTGGGGTCCCAGGCCGGGCGCCCCCCGCACCCCACCCGCGCGTCGCCCCAACCTCCACCAGGGCCAGCGCCCAGTCGAGCTTCGGGACCCCTGAGCCCCGGCTGCAGCGGAGTGGCCTCGGCGGCAGGGCCAGGGTGCAATGGGGCGCGGGGCTGGCCACCCGAGTGGCGAGGGGAGTC